CTTCCATCAATATATGTCATACCAAGATAGAGAGAACAGCAATCTGATCAGATGTCAGGTAGCCTGTGATGTTTCTATTTTCCTTGCCTGGTTGGTTTTTACACTAAAGCTGGGATACACATTCGACTACCCAAAAACCCTGCTGGTGAAGGAATACCTGCTTAAAAACCCAGAGGAATAGACCTCCTTGGTGTTAAAATTCTCTTTGTAAGTCTCCTGGAGAACCACAATAATTACTTGAAATAAATCCTTGGACAGAGTTCTAGCAAGCCAACCTCGTCCCAGTTGAGGTTTCAGAGTGCTAGAACAACTTCAGCCTTTATTTCTCAGATTTCTGGACTTTGCTTGCTTTTCTCAGCTAGCTAATAACTGAAATTCTCAAGCTACTTGGTAATCAACTATTGCCAAACTACTTTCATGAAGTTTATCTATGGTTTTGTTCATAATTTTGCTCTCCAGACTTCCATCTAATACTTGCTTTTCTAGACTCTGCTATTTTGGACATTTTACATTCTAGACCCTGAATACAAATGTAATCTGGAACTTCCCTAAGATGATCAACAGAATTGATACTTTTTTTTTTTTTTATCCTGGGCAAAAGGGAGTTTCAGTTCTCTTAAAAAATGTTCTTCAAAGGACTGATATTTTGCTATCCTCTGTCCTTCTTGGCAGCCATGTTGATATATGCGCACATGCTTTTAAGAAGTCTCTTTTTTAGGTTAGCCCACCAGGGAATACATCCAATAACTTTGGGATACCATATAGCCAATCACATTTGGGTTTCCAACATTACCAAACCAAGTGAGTGTGAGTGAAAAGCTTGCTCTGTGTTACATGGGAGAAGGAACCTAATCACCATCAACTTAGCTTGGAGAGGGTTGTTTTTCAGTTCACAAAGACTGTCTTTAGGTTTAGCTCCAACTCTGGGTAGTATTTGTTTGTCTTATAAATTAACTGACAAGGAAAACTTGCTTGCATTTACCTCCGCATTCCAATGGTTTAGAATTTTCCAGTTTCTGCCTTTAAGAGAACTGCACCAAACTAGGACAGCAAACAGAGATGATTGTGCAGCTGTGGTGTGACAAGGTGAAAAGTTCTTTAGCAGAAAGTTAAATGATCATGCCTTGCTGAATGCACAACTTTCTTTACTAGAGTAGCAAGATCTTTTATGAGAATGGACAATCTCTGTGAGAAAAATTCAACACTAAGTGGTTAACACAGAGAAGAGTTCCGCATTATAAAGATTACACTACAGTATAATCTTTATATGGCATGAATAAACAATATACAGTGGTACCTCGAGATACGAACGCCTCTACTAACGAACATTTCGGGTTACGACCAGCTTCGGCAGGAAAAATTTACCTTGGGTTACAACCCGGATACGCAGCCATTTTCCCTGCTGCCACGCGGTCGCGGCTTCCTGTGGGCGAGGTCGCGGTAGCAAGGAGACGTTCGGTGAGGCTTGTAGTGTAGAAATTGCCTCGGGTTGCAACCAAATTTGGGCGGAGGGCGGAATGGATTAACCGTATTTACATTGAACCTTATGGGGAAATTTGCCTCG